CCCATTGGTGGGGCCAAACCCAAAGGCAGAGGGCAGGGAGCCTGGGCCGCGCAGGCCGCGGAGGTCAGCCCTGGAGGTCAGCCCCGGAGCACAGCGCTGGCAGGAGAGAATTTGAAGACCAAGAGATCCACCTCGTCATCGGCAGTTTGTGAAGGGCACGTTCGGAGCATGGAGCTTGCGGAGGCTTTGCTATTGAGAACCCAGGAGAGGACGCAGGTGAGGATGCGAAGACCTGGATGCCTGGGACCCAGGGTGGGCTGTTTAGATTAGGAAATACTTGAGCAGGTTTAGACACAAGAAAAGGAGTGTGGAGCCAGTAGATATTAGGGGAAGGGGAGCTGGGAGCTGGAGACTGCCCGGGAGGAAGGAAGGGCGGTGGAGGGCTCTCTGCGAGGAGGGGCAGGAGGGTGCAGGCCTATCCTCTGCCTCCCCCACAGAAGGCTGCACCCTAAAGCCAGCGGTGGTCTTGTAGGGCCAGAAAAGGGACTGTCTCCCTGCCATGGACCAAGGGAAGGGTCCCACATACTTTTTCAGAGCAGAGAGAGAGACACAGCCCAGCCCAGGCCTGAGTGGCAGCTGAGGGGTTGGGGAGGAGGGAAGACCCCATACTCAGAAGGAAGATTCAGAAGCAGTTTCTGAAATGGGCTGGGCTTCCCCACCACTGGAGCCAGCCCAAGTCTCTCTCAGCCAAGGTTGGAAGGACCACAGCTCACATTCAGCCCAGACAGGAATTGGAGCTGCTTTCTAAAGCAAGTTCTAGAAGAGTCTCTTACCAGAATGATTTAGCAACCATAGCAACACCCATGGGGAACTTAAGTATATGTCAGTGACCAGAGTTTTATAGAGATTATCTTAAGTCTTCTAATAATCTCCTGCAGTGGATATTTTTATTATGAGTACATCTTATAGATTAGAAAACTGAGGCTCTGCAAGGTTGGCATTTACATGGGATCCCACAGCTGGTCAGTAGATGAAACAGGATTCCAACCCAGGACTGCCTGACCCTTACTCCCTCCGAGAACCGCCCCAGGCTGGGAGTGGGAGGGGAGAGCAAGCCTGGGCCATTCCCACCTAACAGAAGGCCCAGAAAGCCCCAGAAGGTCTTTGAAGTTGTTTCTGCCTGGTGGTATTCTCACTGCGTTGTTTTGCTGCCCTCTGTAGCAGTTATCACTGAAAAATAAAAGACTTGGTAAAAATCTAAAGGGAATTTTTGCTCCTATTTCTGAACCAGGAAAAAAAAAAGAGAAGTAGTGAAACCAGATCCTACTTGGCTGCATCAGCCTGGGAAGAGAGAATTATATTAACAGTCAGGGCCATTTTCGTCACCAGTAACAAAAACACAACTCACACTAGTTCAGAAAATAATAATAGCTGATATCAGCTGCTCACTTCACACCAGGCACTGTTCCGAGCACTAACGTGAATCCGCTCATTTAATTCTCACAGCGGCGCTATGAAATTTACACTATTATTATCACAGAGGAAATAGAGGCACAGAAATTAAATAATGTCCTCACATCACTTAGCTAGGAAGTGATGTCAGCCCAGGCAGCTGGGCTCCAGAGTCTGCGCGCTAACCATTAGGCAGCACAGCCTTGGCGAGCAAGCAGACATTGACTCGTGTCATTAGTAAGACTGGGGAGGCACCGGATCCAGGACCCTCTTGTTCCTTTCTCTCAGCTCTGCTGCTTTCTGCCTGATCATTCGTCCCTCTATGGCAGGGACAGCCCCCTCTCTAACCCCTTCCTGTGTCTATCACAGTGGAGAAGGTGCTCCACTTCCCTGCTCACTCCAGCAGCAAAATCCCAGGGTCGTCTGGCCCAGGTCCCACGCCCATTGCAGGGCCAGTCACCCTGCCTGGGGTGGAGGGAGAGGGGAATTGCTCTGGGCAGCCAAAAACAACAGCCACCCCAGAAACACTCAGGGAAGAGGGGAGCAGCTGCTGGGAAGAGAAGACTTGGAGATTAAAGCTGGGTATGTGATTAGGAGACAAGCTGGGACCGAGACAGGGCTCCTTGTGTTTCTACCTGAAACAGCAGGTGAGAAGGCAGCAGAGAGAAACCTTCCTTCTTTGCCTAACGCTGAGTGTGTACCAAAAATACAGAGATTGTGCTCACACACACCCCTGAGCGCATATGCTTATAAATACATAAATACAAATATATCCCGGCACATACACACGCTCAGACAAACATACCTGCTCGCTTCACACTCGCATACAGACACCTGCGCGGTCACAGGCACATACACTTTGTCGGTCAGGATAGGCGAGGTTATGCTTCAGTAACAAGCAACCCCAGATCTCTATGGCTTCAGACCACAAGGGCTTAATTCTTGCTGGTCATCGTGCCAGCAGGAAAGAAAGACTTCTGGGAGGTCCTGCTCTGGCCATTAAATTCTTATTTAATTGAATTTTGAAAAGGAAGTGACACTTTCTCTTCTGCTCATTGGCCAGAGCTGGTCATATGGCCACATCCAACCACAAGGGGGTCAGGAAGTGCAATCTAGAAGCTGGGAGGCCCAGAACTATTTAGCAAATAGCACTAATGGCGCACACACACACACACACACACACACGCACACACTTACTGCTCTTCCCACGGTTTCCTTATTTTATCCTTTTATGTCTTGGACTCCTCATGATTCCCTGTCCCCAGCAACGAGGATCAAAATTCCCCTGCTAGGAGCCAGAGGTCATGGAAACTTGCCTCCCCTTTCGTCTCAGCCCTGCCTGCTGCCCCCACTCTCCCTGTCTCCCCTGGGCCCCGCCATGAGCCATGCGTCTCCTGACGCCCATTCTTCTGAGCCCCTGGGTCCCTTCTCCCTGCTTCCTGCCAGGAAGAGATAAAAGGGACAGCTGCGAATTTATGCAGCGCCACCTCGCTCGCTGCTGCCCCACCGCTTGCTTCCAGTCCCTGCTGGCGGCCCTCCCTCCTCCTTACCAGGGCCAAGTGTGCGGCGGTGGCACCACGGGCCGCCGTGGCGAGGCGGACAGCGAGGTGCACCAGAGGCCCTGGGGGTGAGCGCGAGCAGGCAGACGCAAAGACTCCCCAGACGCAGAGTAACGACACAAATGGACAGAGACGGGAAAGAGACGTAAAATGTGGCAGAGAGAAACAGACACGGTGAGTGACAGAGGCAGATGGAAAGAGATACAGACTGACAGAGAGTGACAAAGAAGTGGAGACAGAGGAGACTGGGCGGGAGGGACGAATGCAAAGGAGCAGAGACAGCAACGATGGAAGGTGGCGGTGGGGCTGTGTCTGGGGGTGTGTGTTACTCCTTAGCCCTGGGTTCCAGCCGCGCCGTGTTTCACTGAAACGGACTCACGGAAGCAGGCGCGGCGACGTCTCTAAAGACAGCGAGACGACGTGGCCTTTTCAAGCAAGCCGTGCGGGTCTGAAGCCAGGCCGTGCGCTCGGGGCGCCGGCAGGGTCTCCTTGGGGATGTCTAGTGCCTGGGGCCAGCTCCACGGCGTCGTCGTGGGCTCTGTCGGCTGGAGGAGCTGTGACGGCCTTCCCTGCCTCGGCTCACGCTGCTGCTGCTCCAGCTCTGGCTGGGACAAGGGGATGCTGGGGGCGAAGAGAGATGGGGGACGCAGTTCCTGCTCTGTGCAGGGCATGAGGCGTCCTAGGCCAGAAAGAAAGGCAGATTCCTGCCTTCAGGGAGCCCTGGGTCTCAGCAGAAATTTAAGCCTCGTTCATTCCTTCAACACGTGGTCATGGCACCCCCCCCGCTGTGCCAGGCCCCGGGACTGGGAGAAGACAGAAGCCATGTGCCTGGTAGGTTTTAGCCTAGTGCAGCAGACAGACTACAAACAAACAAACTGTAACATATAATGACGAAGCACTCTCAATGCTACGAGGGAAAAAGAGTATAATACTCGAGGGAATAGTGATGGCGGGAACTTCTTTAGACTTGGAGATCAGGAAAGTCACTCCAGGTGGGTGATATTGTGGCCGAGACCTGATGAGAAGGAACCAACTAAGAGGAAGAGTGGGGGTGGCATGGCATGGGGAGTGGGGACACAGCCCAGCTGGAGGGAACAGCCCAAACAAATCCGTAAAACAACACCCAGCTTGGGCACTAACTATTCCAAGCCCAAAGGAGGGCGGGGAGATCAGGAGCCGTGAACAGGGGTGTGGGGTGTGAGGTCAGCCAGCCGGGCAGGACCCTGCGGGGCAAGCCACCGTGCAGTGTGGGGGTGACTCCAGGGACAGTGGTGAGAGACACGAGCACTATCCACCCACTCGTGTGCTGGGCACTTATGGCACGCCAGGCCCTGAGCCAGGGCTGGGGGCCCAGCTCAGATGTTGGGATGGGAGTAAGACGATCATGGCACAGAGGAAACCAACGCAGCTGATCAGGTCACTCCTGGGCTTAAGCACCCCAGAGGCTCCCACCACCCTCGGGATACAGGCCAGGATCCTTAGTACGGGTGGCAAGGCCCTCCTCGCCTGTCCCCGCTTCCTCCCCATCTCTGCCATTCCTCAGCCTCAGGCCCAGGGCTGGCTCCAGGCCTTTGCCCACACTGTGCCCTCTGTCTGAAACAGCCTGTCACTGCGCTGTCCTCCGCCTGCCCACCTCCTAGCCATCCTCCAAGACTCGGCTCCAGCCTCCCTCCTCCTGGGGAAGCTTCTGCTGAGCCCGTCACCCTCCCAATGAAACTGACCATCCCCCTTCAGGCCTTGCAATACCACATGCCCCAGAACACCTCACTGCCCTTGTCTATCTGTCTGTCTGTCTCCTGGATGGAGTCCCTCAGAGCCCGGGCTGCACCATTGGCTTAGACTCCCTGGTGAATCATGCACGGTGCGCAGGTAGCTGAGCAGAGGCGGATGGGTCACTCAGTTTCCACTGCCCCAGCACCGCCTCGGGATAATTGGAGCTGAGCCTTCAGCTTGTAGGGAGCAGAGACCAGGGTCCCCCCACCGGGAGGCGGCACAATGAGGCCCACCGAGCCCTGAGAGACAGAAGCGGGGAGAGAAGAGGACGTGAGGCCAAGGCTAACTGCTCAGCGGGTGTTGGCTCCTCTCCTCCTGGGCACTCCTGGGGGTAGGAGGATTTCTGAAGTCCAGAGTGGTTTGGGTCCCCATAAAGCAGTCCCAGAGGACGGTACAACTAAGCAAGATCTCCGGATGACCCGCCGTTCCTGTCAGCATCCACTGAGGCTGGAGCTGCGCTCGGTACCTGGAAAGAAGGCCCCAGGGTGCCCTGAGCCTGACGGCCAAGATGGCCACATCCAGGCCTGAGCAGGGGCGCAAGGCCCTGGGTCAGAGGGACCTGGCAGGAGCAAGGAACGGAACACACTCACTCCAGACCATGAGGCCCAGACAGGGAGATGGTAGGGAGCGAGGCAGGTGCCAGGGAGAGGTGGAGGGAAGAGGAGGACATGCTACTACTAACGGGCCACCCCCTACGTGCCAGCGGCTTTGCTTGTGAAAGTCCCTGTCTTGCTCAGCCGCAGTCTGGCACAAGCGCTGCTATGAGGGTGGCCTTCCACATGCCTGTTAGGGCCCAGGCTCCCTCCCTCTTGTGGCTCTGGCCCCCTTTAAGGACTCTGACTCCTCCTTGTTCAGCCCCGAGACAGAGAAAGACATCAATTCTTGATCTTTTCTGCCTGGAAGCGGCATACAACACCCTGCACACGCTCCCTCCGCGAGAACTAGAAATGAGGCCACACCCAGACGCAGAAAATGGGATCTGAAAAATGGGGTTCCTGGCTGGGCAGTTGCTTCTCAGCCAAAAGCCCCACAGCATGGAAAGGGGTCCTGAATCTGCAGCGGGCCGTTGGCCAGCTCTGCCCCTGTCCCTGGCATCACTGGGTACCTATGCTGGGCCAGGCCTTGTCTAAGTGTGATTTATCTTAGTCTTAACGGCGACCACTGAAAACTAAAGATGGTTAGACCCATTTTATACGCGAGAAACAGAAGCGCAGAGATGTCAAGAGGTTCGGCCGGAGGTGGCGAAGCCTGGACTTGGCGCCAGGTCCCGCGTGCCAAGGCCGTGGCGTTTCCCCTCCCAGCCCTCCAGGCTGTGTCCCGAGGAGACCGCTGAGATGGAGACAGGAGGGAGGAGGTGGGTTGAGTGGGGGGCGAAAGAGCGGGGAGGGAGGGCGGCCAGCGAGAGGGAGGCGTGGGTGGATGCGGGCTTGCTTCCCTGGGTGGGCAGGGAGTGAGTGTCGGTCGGGGGGGGGGGGAGCCGGAGGGCGCAGGCCGGGCTGGCTGATGGGTGGGGCGCGCCCCCGCGCTCCGCTGGACCTGCCCCCTCCTCAGTCCTCTGCCGGGCTCAGGGCCAGCCCTCGGACTCCTCCTCGGAGCCGTCCCTGCCTGGCCTCACCTCTTTGTGGGAAGGACCTGGCTTCGTGGTGTGTCCCCTACAGCCCTCAGCTCAAATCCTGCCCCTGCGACGACCCTCGACTGGTGGAGGGACTTGGTGACACCGCGGTGGGTGGAAGAAAGCGCTTTCTAAACGCCAGTGTGAGCGGGTTCGGGTGCCTGCTCTGAGGGGTGGGGACAGCAGCACGAAGCCCTCCCTGCTAGCTCCCTGCCCTCTGTGGTGCCAGGAGGGAGGGACAGAAGGAGACAAACAAGACATTTAAGGCCTCGGCGCTTCCCAGCTGCCCTAAGTCAGCAGCAGCGTCCCTGACACGGAGAGTGGCCTGAGAAATGAAAAGTGAACCGGCTGCTAAGACGTTTCACTCTCCTGGCGTCGCAGGTGGGGCTTTAATGGGGGCCACGCGTCACCCACCCCCGACCCCAGCAGATGATAAAGGGCCGCCGCTCCCCGCAGGTCCCAGAACAGCCCACCGCTGCACTGCCCGTAAATTGTTATGGCCCCGTGAAGAGCACGCTCTTAAATGTCACCCTGCTAAGGGGAAGCAGGCGCGGGGACTTGTCACTGGCACTGCCGAGGTGGAGCCTGAGAGGGTGGGCCCCGCCGGACGGGTGAGGGTCAGGCTCCTTGGGAAGGGCAGCAGGGTGCGGGCTCTGGGGTTAATGAAAAGCGCCCCCTGTCCCCCAAGGGATCATTACCTCCAAAATGACCCCTGCTCTTGCGGGGTAGGAGGGGCACACTGAAGAGCTGTCATCAGAAGGGACTGGCTAAAGAATCCAGGCCTGCCCGCTGGCCCAGTCCTCGTTCAACCACCCACACCATCTGTCCGCCTCCCTCCGCCCTCTCTCTCCCCGCTCCCGTCCACTCCCTCACCCCGTTGTCGTCGCTGTGCCCTGTGGACCCCAGGGCAGAACTAAGAAGGAATCTTAATGAGCCTGACTCCGGCCAGAGGGCCTGGTCAGGCCACCGCATGAGCCAGATTTGCTTTCTAACTTCACCTTCTAACTTTGGGGGCATGGAGAGGTCAGCTTCCCACTCATCCCTGGAGCCTTCTCCAGAGAAAGGCAGAACTTCGGGTTCCTTCCAGGAAGGAGGTGAGCTTCGCTTCCTTGCCGGCGCGACCCTTCCCGCCTCCTCTCTCTCCATGACCTTTTTTTGTGAAATAAATCTCACGTGCGGAAAAGGGCACGAGGCAAATGTTCCCCTAACAAATTGCTCTAAAGCAAACTGCAGGGCGGCCACCGCCTCAGCTTGGGACCAGAACGTGGCTAGCACCCAGCGGCCGTGGCTCCCCTCCGGGCCACCACCTCCCGCCTCTCTTTACACGTCCGTGCGCTCCCTCAACGGTCGGGTTCAGTTTTGCCTGTTTCTGAATTTTATGTAAATAGAATCACGTGTTGCATCTGCTTTCACGTCTGGCTTCTCTCAGCCGCCCTGGTGGTGTCTGTGTGAGCCGTCGGTGTGCTCGGCGTTGTCACCGTTCACTCTTTCTCGTAAACCTGGAGAGCTTGCCGCCGCCCGCCTGTCGCGGCCCCCACCCATCTCCCCACGCCCGGCAGCAGCAGCTGTGGCACCTTGGAGTGTGGGCTCCCGCACAGCAGGGAGGTGGCCGACCCTTCCTGCTGAGGCAGGTCCCCTCACGTCTAACCTCCTCCCCCTCAGCCCCGCTCTGCTGGTGTGCTGTCTCCCATGAAGTTGAGGGAGAGGGAGGGTACAGCCAAATGACACGTCAACTGCATTTGCAAAGCAGTTTTCAATCGACGCGGCACTTTCTACCATACTAACTGGCTGAGACGGTCACTATCGTCCTGCTCTAAACATTTTACCTTTTTAACCCTCAGAACCCCACCTCTGAAGCAGGTACTATTAATTATCCTCATTTTAGAGACGTGGGAACTGAGAAGTTAAAGAACTTGTCCAAGGTAGGGTTGCCAGATAAAGCACAGAATGAGCAGTTACATTTGAATTTCATATAAGCAAGGAATTCTTTAAAGCATAAATATATCCCAAATGTTGCATAGCGAATTCCAACGGGCATCCTGCATTTCTGATTCCCTAAACCTGGCAACCCTAGCCCAGGGTCACGCAGCAAGTGACGGCAGAGCCAGCACTCGCGTCCCGGCTCCTGCTCCACAGCCCTGTGCCTTTGGCCACTGCCCTCCTGTCACAAGGGGACCCCACCAGGGTCCTGGCAGCCAGGAGGGAAGCAGACGGCTCTGGAATCGTTTAGGAAATCATGCAGCGAGGCTAGGAAACAGATTCGATATGGAGGCTAAAGGAGAGGGAGGAGCTGC